TGCAATTATATCCAACCTGGAGGGAATGGTGATGCTGGCAGGCAGTAAAAAAAGTTAAATTCAACAGCTTCCTGATGTGCACTCATGGGATTGTGTAAAATCTCGATTCAGGTGAGCCCTTGCATCAACTTAGGAGACCAAGGGTGTGATTCGTTTTTTTTAAAATGACTTTATTTTGAGGACTACTTATAACGAAAGAAGTAGAACTAGCCCAGCTAACAGAAGTGACTGTTGCGGCCGAGCCAGCGGACATGCGGGCAGAGACAAAAAAGCACAGCCACGACGTGTACAAGAGGCTGCTGTCGTCCGAGCCCGAGGCAAGCTTTTGTGTCAACTGCCCTGGCACCATCTTGCCAGACGGCTTGACTCTTGCGTAATTTCGTCACCATCTTCTGATGACTTGCACCCCAGGCTTTGGTTGCCAGGAGGACAAAGATGCGTAAGTGACGGACAGAACAGACAGACGATGGGCAACTACTGACAAGCGTGCAAACAACTCAGATTATAGAAGGGACTTGAACTCGTTTTCGCAACTTGTTCTTATTGTCATGGCGACTTAGTTGAACGCACCTTGTCCGAAGTCCTATGCCATAGTAGACATCATCGCGCCTAGCATCAGAATGTACCAAGTCCACGGCCTGGAGCTGGGAATTATGACAACTACTATGGCAGACAATGTGCTTTCAAATAAGTCGCCGTGACAACAAGACCAAGTTGCGAAAACGAGGTCAGCCCACTTGTATAAATCGCAAGGAGACTGCGACCATACCGGGGACCACACCATCTTGGTTTTCATATCTTCGAAATCAGATTATGCCCAGCCTTAATTGAGACCAACCCGGAGCGGTATGCTTGTTTGAGGATGCCTTTTGGCCGGTCAGTCGGTCGACCTCGCTCGGGGTTTGTGTAAGGTTGCCGACTCCAGAGGCTTGTCCCGTCGTGACGTCGAGAAGATGTCCCGCTGACGGTGTCCTGTCGAAGGTGTGTCTCGAAGGCGAGAGCGACGGTGACGACGTTGGTTTGTGTGCTGCCTCAGTGGAAATACCCGAGACGGGATGACAACCGTGTCTATCCCCGCGAGCCCTCACTTCAAACCTTCCAGCGGGGCTCAAGTAGCGCCAATTTGCCTCAGACCCTCAC